GATAAACGCATTATTTTCTCATCGTTTTGATGATCTGAAAATAGTGTTAAGTATGGCCTAAAAACGTGATAATATTGCTCTGAAAGTAACATTTTATAATCAAATTTGATACGATGAATGTTAATTTGTATCAATTTGCGGCCGACCGCAGAATGAAGAAAGAAACTACCATTTTTCTGGTTTTTACCAGGCTGGCCAGGCAAATCAATCAAAACCTTAGCAGTCCCACATGGAGCAAAGCAATCAAAAAATTATCGCAAAAAGATACAAAAAATTGCGAGCTGAAAAAAGCGAAAAGGAAAAGATTAATGAACAGAAATGTACATTAAATTGGTTGGCCCGACGCACATGGACTTTCACTTTCCATCGACCGGGCTGAAGGAAAAGCGATAGGGCGAAGATATTTATAGTTGGGAAACTATCCATCAGATACTACGAGTCTATTTGACCCATTAAGACCCAACAGAAAAACACACGCAATGGAAAACGCATTGGGATATCGTTTGTTGTCCCTGGCAATTGTTTTAATTGGATTGTTTATTGGGAAAATGGGAAATGGGGGTTCCAAGGGGTTGCTTTCGGTTGCCATGCTCAGCGGGCGGCCTATCTTGTCCGCGAAATTGAGTCAACCCATATTGCCCCCTTGTAGTGACCTAGTTAAGCATATTTCATGCTCAATTTTACTCTTTCAGGGTCACGCTGAACCGACTTCGACTAACTAAAAGTGTTTTAGTTTTTGCAACACTTCCCCAAGGCCTTCCGATGTCGTCAGATCTGTGGATTATTTTAGGTATCCCATTGAAAATATACTTTTTTTGCCTTGTTGTTTGTCCATTCTATATCCGTCTGTCGGTCTGTCTAGTAAATTAATGTCTAGCTGGGAATTCTTTCTGCACAATTTATTTTGAGACAATTTTTCGAATTTCTTTATGAAAATATTTTAGGAAAGAAAATAGAAAATGTTATTTACCCAACAATTTGCTTTTAAAAAAGAGAATGGAATTCATTTAAGTTTTTAGAAGATCTTGGGAATGCCTTTAGAATCTTTTTTGTTTAAAGAAGAAGATTAAAAAGGTTTTTCAAAAACCAAATTTGTACTTTAAAAGCGCACAAGAAATTCTATAAAAATTTAAGAGGTCTGTTAACCTTTTGGAATAAAAAAGTTATGGGAATTCTTTTCAAATAAATCTCTTTACAAACCGTATAAATTCTCGAAAGATTTTCAAAGATCATTGAACTGCTCAAGAGCATTTTGTTCACATTTTTAATACGACTTTTTACAGCAAGAACTTTTACATATTCCATTAATCTTTGCGTTTGTCTCATTATCTACGTCTGAACGGCTTTTCCTGTCTTGACCAGACAATTTTTCATATTTTAACGAGCTAAAATTACGCGACATATCGTAAAGAGACCCTGATATTATATAGCTATCGAAAACAGACTGCGTGCTACCCCCAACAATCTGTCACAATTTATTTTAACACTTGCTCCCCCATGTCGTTACTCTGTCGACCGAAAAACAAATTGTATTTGTTTCAGTTTTTTTGGCAATTGTTTTTTGGGGATTTTCTCTGAAAACAGTTCGGTGACGGAAGTACGCGTGTCGACGCGACGCCATTTAAGCCAAAAAAAATGAATATGGCTATATAATGTGTATTTAACGATTCGAAAACAGACGAAAAGGCAGGCGGTGCATTAATATTTCAGCCGCGTTTCGAACGCGCAAATCTGTGACGCCCTCGAGTTGCAAAAGCCTGACTTGCATTCCGAATCGAAACGCCGTTTAATTTCCCTATATAGAAATCACAATATCGGCAAACAGTAGCACATATAGATATCCATATCCACAGAATATATAAACCAGCCGGCCATCAACTAAACGGCCCATGGCCTGCATAAACAATTTGACGTCAATTCGAATGGAAGGAGAACAGAATAAATATCTGACTATCCGAATCAAGCGGAATCAAAATAAAGCTAATGAATGTTCATGTTTTCATCTTTATACTATACCCGCACTCTATTTTGGGAAATAAATCAAGAAGCTTATATAGTAAGAAGCCATTAGGAAGCCGGCAATTTGCTTGCTCATAGTCTGGTCAAAGAATTTACGACCTAACTATCTTCGAAGAGCATAAAAATGCACTCAACCCTTGTAGAGAATGACTCAACTAGCCGACGACCAACCACCGATGAGCCAAAGGGCTGTTATTAGCAAATAAAGACAAAAAACGTCTTTTGTTGGCCAACTTGCCAAGTTGCAATGGGCAATGGGCAACATTGAAAAATAAACATGCAAAGAGCGAAAATATTTAGCCGGTGACCCTTAAAAAGCGATATTTGACATTTGTGCTCAAAATATACATTTTACGAGTGCCGCAAAGCGAAATGGGAATAGGAAAATTCAAGGGGCAAGGTGTGTGCTCGAAATCTAGGAAATACTCTTTGTAATGATACGACTATGTGGTTGGTCAGTAGGGAAAATGTTACCTAAAGTGTATAGCTTTTTTAGAGACAGACAGTGGTATTCCTAAGAAAGTTTTTTGTTATTAATCTGTCAATAATGAAAGAAAACCTAAAGTCTTCAAAACAAAAATCCCAAAAATCATCAGTTTTTGACATTTCTAGAGCTGCAGGAATGATATACGACCTCCCAAATCCCCACTAAACCACTAAACTAACTAAAACAGAACTTTCAAGAAAAATTATGTTGTGCCTTGATTCATTCATATTAGAAGGAACGAATGAGTTTAGTTCGAATACATATATCTTATTTTTGGGGGGCCTTAATTGCCGACGAACCGATCCATTTTTAGAGGAAAACTATTGGAAAAACACAAGCCAGCGGAGCGGAGGGGGCAGAGGTGGAAACGATTCCGAAGATGCGGCTGCCAAATAGATACAAGTTGCTAGCACATAGAGTAGATACAGATTTGAATCCAAAGCTGAATCATGATGGACGCACACAAGTGGACCTCGGCCACACCTCTCCACCTCAGCTGATGTAATACTCGTTTTCCAACGGATGTGCCGAAATGTTTATAAACAAACAAGGAAATTGCACAGAGAGAAAATGCATATAAGAATTTTTTAAGATTTCAATTTGTAACTATTAAAAATCTTAAGTTTATATAAACTTTAAAATGATTTTGTTAAAAAAGAAGTTGTAGAATTCCAAGTCCAAACAAGATCCATGCTTTTGGTTATTATAATCTTTATAATCGAACTTTAACTTACACTTATAGCGCGTACTGTCGAGCATTTATATGCCGAGCTTTATCATTCCAGAACAGAAAGTTAACCGCTTTACTGAGGCAATATTTTTGCGTTTCTTATGGGGTTGGCTCTTTCACGTTTGTTTAGGCCGCTCACGTTGTCACAGAAACCACAGGCAATAGGGGGTTAAGTTAAGAGTGCGGGTATAAGGGGTAAAACCGAGGTACCAAAATATGTTAGAAAGTAAAACGCGCGAAAACAAATGCCACTATATTGATTACTGGGAAGGCAGACAAAGACACACGCGTGTTACCGGCGAAGTTAGCCCGGGGAGTCGTTAGACTTTGTTTTCTTCTCTTTGTTGTGACAGGTCCGCTGTCTGCACTTTTTGTTGTTGGAACTGCGGACAATCCAATTAGCCAGTAAAGATGCCGCCCTAACAATCAGATAATGCCATATACCCAAGATATATATGTAGTATATCTGAAAACGCTTTCACCACCGAAAAATTGCTGAAATATCTTTTGGGATTCTTTCGATTCAGAACCCAAAGTGATTTGTCTAAAATTTTAGATAGAACCGCGAGGAAAGCCACCAAAACCGCGACGGAAAAGCGGAAAACGCGAAGGGAAAACGCGATGCGAACGGAAACACAACCGGAGCAGAACTGAATGGCCAGCGGAGGAATCCAATGGCCAACAAATTCTGAGACGACCCCTGAGTGAGAGCTTTCCTCTCACTCAAAATAGCGGCATGGGCGGAAAACTCAGGAAAAGTCGGAAAAATGCTATTTTTGCCTACGTCTTAAAACTACTCAAAGAGTCCAAGCATGATGTAGAAATGTTGTGTGAAAATTTCATCTGAGAATTTTGTTTACAACGTTTATTGGGTGGAAGGCGCGCCGGCGTTCAGAGGATGAAAGTGAAAATACAGTTTGCAGTGGAAAACTGTTAGCAAAAAATTCCAAAAAATTTCGATTAAATGTACCCCAATCCGCCCCTGTAATTTTATGTATGTAAAGCTTATATAAAGAAAACGGTACTTCGTGTAATGACATACATGCATTAACTTATAACGGTAAGAGTTTTTGGCGGCATAAACTCACCTTTGCAAGTACAGCTGGAATTTGAGGACCTTCCTCCCACTCCTGCAGGTAAGCAACAGCTGTTCCGGGACTACTGGCTCCTCCTGTTTCAATACATCTGCTTATCATATATAAACCTTCATTTTCCCTCGTCGTTTTAAAACCGAAAAACACGAATTTTAATTTGTATTTACCGGTGACACACACACACGCGCTCACACTGCCAAAAACACAAACACACGCGCAAGTGAACAGTTGCATTTGCCGGTTGGATTTGTTGTTGCCGCCAAATAATTTTTGGGAAAAGATAAATTGCTTAAGAACTTACCTGTTATACTCCTTCTAACTCTAATAGATACTTAGTTGACTACTTAATGGCTCTTATTTTAATATATTATAGCTATCACAAGGGTTTTAATTACGCGGCGCGAATTTTGCATGGCATAGATTTCCTCGGCTTCGGGCGGAATTTCGTTTTAAGTAGAGGTGGCAACATAAGCACAGCTTTACACACGCGAAATGCACTTTAAAAGTTTATATTATTTTATTGTATTTATTTATTTGTTATTAAACAAAAGCTAAATTTTGGCAATCGTTTTGCTAGCGTTGCCGTATAGATTGTAGCTAGTCATCTGTTCAGAGCGCTGCCGGACTGGGTAAAACAACAGATTTTCTCAGTGCTGGCTAACGGCTGCATTTTTGGTCATGTGGCAACCCCTCGTCTCTTAAACACATTTTACTCAGAATCGAAAAGTATTTTTTAAATTTTCCCCTTAAAACTTGATTTTTTAAGTTCATTTTCTACTTGCTCTCTGCTGGAATGGCTCGCACTGAGCTGGAGAAGAAGGCCAAGCGCCAGGGTAAGAAACGCAAGCACGAGGTAGCCGAGAATGCAGGACATGCGGCCAGTGACGACGAGGTGGCCATCAAAAGTTTGATTCTGGAGCCACAGGTGGAACAACAGGCATCTGAAACAGGTGGGTTTGGGGTAATATCTTTATACTATATACGGTTACACATTTTATATTTACAGATAAGCCCCCTAAGAGGCGGCAAAAAGGGGAAGAATCGTCGGGCCCAAAGAAACGCACCAAGAAAAACGCGGTAGAGGAGCAGGTTGACACCAATGGAGACGATGAAAGTCCTTCACGGAAACCTGAAAAGAGAAAGCAAGTTCACGAAGCAAACAAACCCAAAAAGGAAAAGCGCAGAAAACAGGAAAACAACTCGGATGACGATGAAGAGGACTCCCAACCAACCGAGGAACAATTAAAAGAGGCTGCTCGCCCGGAAAACGCCAACGCAGTGGTCACGGTGCGCAAAAAGAAGAAACAGAAGCACCAGCAGCGTCTCGAAGCTCAAAAAAGTCAGAACTCCAACAAAGAAGCTAAAGTCAACAAGGAATACCTCTTCAAATGGAAGGAATCCCGCCAGGAGTGGAAGTTCAACAAGCTGCGGCAGATTTCCATCCAACAAACCGCCTTTAGCGAAGATAAACTTGATGCGGAGCTGTGGCCCACTGCTCTGGAGTATTTGGCCAGCTCACAGGGAGCCGCGCGCTCCAAGATCACCCAACTGGCCCAGGAAGTCATCCAGAAACTGGACAAGGAGGGCGAAAAGCTGGAGGACGAGACTGAAAGGCAAAAGCTTATCGAGTCCACGCAGTATCAGCGGGCACGCGATCTCCTCCAGATCTTCGACTAGTTGTTTATCTTAGTTGTTAATGTTTGTCCTAGCTTTTATTAAAGAATACAGAAACATAGAAAATGTATCTTACCCTTAAAGTAAAAGTTTATTTTACAAGATAATAAGGTCACCTCTTAAAGTCTACATATATTTACAAGTCCACATAGGCCAGTAGCTTGTCTAAGTGATCGACTCGCTGCTGCAGAAGCTGTTGATCCTCCTCCTTCAGCTTCAGCTTGTCCAGTTGATCCTCTTTTAAGAGGAAGTGCTGCAGGAAAAGTCGAACACTCTGCTTGAACTGCTGCAGCTTGGTGTTTTTGGCTACCCTTTCGAATGTCTGATACACTTGCGACTCATCCGGAGCCAGGAGTAACCTAACCATCACTTCCTTCATAAAGTAGAAGCTGAGCTTATCCAGCTGCATAAAGTCCACCACTTTGAGTACAGAGAGCTGTAAGCCAGCTGCTAGGATTACTTGTTGGAGAAAACTGGCCAGGTTTCGAATCTGCGGTTTGGAGAGCTTTTCAATATCATTGATTCTGTCCCAGCTGGCGAACTGGAAAGCAAGTTGATACTTTCTGTTGAATTGACAGAACTTGAGGGCCAGATGAGCGTAGTAGGGATTAGCTCGCTTCTCATTAAGAGCACAATGGATGATCACGTAAGCCACCGCGCGCTGATCCTTCAGAGCCAAGTGCAAGATCTTCTCAAAGGCATCTACATAATCGGCGGCGCTCATTATGATGCAGAATATATTCCTCCTTTCTGCTGTGTTCATCTGCTGCTTTTTGGCCAGCTCCAGTAACTTATCAGCAAAACCTCCATTAACAGATTTAGACGAGTTCTTATCCTGTTTTTGTTTGGCAGAACCCATCTCGTCCAGATTTCCCGTCCAGGCAGAGCCCACGATCCACCACTTGCCCACTTTGTCGGCTCGCAAAAGGTCCTCGAGGGTTATGTTTAAGGTAACTACATAGCGATCGTTCTTTAGCATAGCTTTCAAACGCTTTCGGAGATTCTCCGCCAGCTCGGGATCGTATTGGGGCAGCTTTTGCATATTGTTGTTTTTAACAGCATTCAAAATATCCACCATGAAACGCAGGCGAGGATTCTCTTTGAGTTCCAAAGGAGCAGAGGCAATCTGCGATTGAACTTTTTGCATCATGGTCTTAAAAGCCAGTGGATCATCTTTGCGCAAGCGGAAACCAATAGACTGGAAGATCAGCAAAAGGCATTCCACACTCTTTTCGCAAAGGTTATCTGACAATTTGCCTATAAGCTCCATCATCAAGCTCAGCTCGAAAATCTTGAAGAGGTACATGTAGCAGAGGACTAGGACCAGGTTATTTAACTGCTTATCCTCCACCTCCAGGTTAACAATGTCCTTGACATAGCCGTCGTACAGCTCCACAAAAGTCTGCAGAAAGTGCGCGCCAATCTCACTGCCTATTTGAGCGTGAAGGTAGGCCAACAAAACCATGTGTTCCTGAACCATTCTTTCGTTGGTTCGCGTCGAGCCCAGCAGTGCTTCTTTGAGTAACTTGGTCAGGGTCTCGTTCATGTTGTAGCGCGAGTTCTTCATGTACAGCTCCTCTATGCCAGCAGCAATTTTATGAAGATTTGCCTCGGACAGACGATTGAGCAGACCTTTGCTTTGTTTTAAAAGGCGGGCTAGTATCTCGGCCTGTTTCTCGCTAGATCCTGCACTAGCGGCCATCAGAGCTCGTTGATGTGGCGGTATGTACTTCTGACCGGTGGCAGATGCCTCTTGCTCCACGGGATCGGGCAGGATGTTTCCCTCTGCATCGCGTTTGCGACCGTAGATGTCTTCTTTAACTGCGGATTTTTAAGAATTAAAGAAGATCTAGAAATGTCTGTAATTGACTTACCCTTGGGTGCCTCATCCTCCTGTTCGGACTCTTCCCCACTGTATTCCTCATCACCACTAAAATCTTCGTCGTCTTGTGCTCCCTCCGACCCACTGTCATCTCCCGGGAAGTTATCCTTGGGATCATTTAACTCCTCCTCATCTTCTTCATCGCTCCACATGCCTGCCTCCTCCTTTTCCTGTTGCTCCTTTAGCTTTTTCTTGCGCTCCTGTTTCTCCTCCCACTTCTGCTTCTCCTCTTCGTCATCCAAGACAAAGTCCAGCAGGTAATCCAAGCCATCGTTAAACATCTTCCTGACCAGGCGGTTTTTGTCCTTGGATTTGTTGAGTTTCAGCCTCTTTTCCAACTTATTGATCTCGCGATCCTCCTCCACGTTTTCCAGGCGAAGTTGCTTGAGCCGCTGCTTCTTGGACTTAGCCTCCAATTCCTTTTGCTGGCGCAGTTCTTTTCGCCTGACCGCCTCTTCATCCTGTCTTTGGATGGCACCTCCTTTGGCTTTCGTCACATTTTTCCCCAGGGGCTCGTAGACCTCCACCTTTTCTCTTTTGGGCATCAAAGCATCCACCTCCGCATCACTAAAATCGGAATCTATTGACTCATCATCGTCGCTGGCGATTTCCCCGGATAAAAGCTGTTCCTTTGGAATTTCATCAGGATTTATTTTGGGTTTTTTGCTCTTTTTCTTCTTCTTGTTTTTTCCCGTTAGTGACTGCGCTGCCAAAGCCTCTGCTGCCGCCGCCACGCGCTGTGTGCCGTTAATTTTGCCGGCGTGATAAAGTCGCTTATTCTGCTTTTTGACCTCTGACTTTTGTTTCCTTTGCTCCTTTCGGGTCAAGGGCTTCTTTTTGGTCTCTTTCGTCTTTATTTTAACCATTGTGGGCGGGATTTACAAGCTTTTTTAACCGGATCACATTTAAAAATTGTTGTGGTTGGTCGAACAGCTGTTTATGACAAGTGTTGTACAACCCACGTGGTTTGGCATGGGCGTATAAGAAAATACTTTGGGGAGTCCATAAAATGAAAACATATAAAAATTTACCTATATTTAAGAGACAGATTGAAAATAATAAAATATTATATATGGGATAATATAACATATTATATACATATATACATATTTATTTCCCGCCGACTTTTTAGCTTCGACCCCCTTTGCTACACCGTTGACCACCCGAAAGATGTGGCCTTTTTTAGTGCATTTTGTGAACGCACACAATTAATATTATTTTCGAATTCTTAAATAAAAAATAAAAGTTCCTGATCCAATATGTCCACCAGGTGGTACCCCATCTACCAACGCGGTAATCCGCAACTCCGGGTTTTCCTGCCCAACTTTTGGATGAAGCTTATCCGGCCGACGGAAGAACAGCCAGCCAATGTGGTTACCTTCTCTGTGTCCATGGAGATGACAAAGTACGATGTGCGCAGCTATCTAGAAAAGATCTACAAACTCCCAGTGGTGGATGTGCGTACTCGAATTGCCCTGGGAGAGACCAAGAGGGATCAGACCTACGGATACATCACGAAGAAAGACGACGTGAAGCTGGCTTATGTAACACTGGTATGGGTTTTTACAACGGCATAACTTAGGGGTCAGAAATTATAATATCCATATATATTCCAGCCCAGGGAAGAGTCCTTTGTCTTTCCCGATTTCTTCACGGAAAAGGCAGAAAAACAAGCCAAGGAGGAGAAGTCGCTTGACGAATCGAAAGCCGGTTTCCGCAGATTTTTGGATAGGAACAAGAAGCGGCCCGGCACTCCAGGCTGGTTTTCCATTTAGTTGATAGTCTGTAGTCTTAGCTCATTTGTTGTTTCAACGGTTATATAAACATTTATTTCGAAAGTCCGAATAATAACATAAAGCTAAGCTTGGCTTCTTTTTTGGGCACTTCTTAGAAAACTACTTGGCCTGCTTAACGGCGGCGGCGACCCATGCACGAATTTTGTCCTCATCCTGGAGCCCTACCATGCGCTGTACTTCCTTTCCATTTTGCAATACCACCAGGACGGGAACGGCGGCCACATCGTAGTCCAAAGCTAGTTCGCTGTGCTCATCAATATCCACTTTTGCCAATTTAATGGAACCCGCTTGTTCACCCACAATACTCTCAATTCGCGGAGTCAGCATCTTGCAGGGATTACACCATCTAGAGGTTATAGATAAAACAAATTATTTAAAAAGAAAATTATATATATATAAACCAATTTACGTTGCGAAAAAGTCAACAATCACGGGCTTCTGACTGTTCTTGACTTTCTTGTCGAAGTCCTCGGCACTCTGGACTTGAAAGATCTCCTGACGCCGAGCAGAAACTGACAACGTGCGGATTTGCTGGCCACTAACCAAACGGCGCGTCGCCTGTCCTAGGATATTAACAATCTGTCGCTGCATCGCTTATTTTATCGGTTCTTCCAAGTGCAAATTTTTATATGAAATGATTGCAAAATAATGACAAGAGAATCACAACAACAAGGAGGTAGAGAGTTGCCAGATTATCAGGTCATATAAGGTGTGGAAACATTTTTAGGGGAACTGACACTTTGAAATGTCAGTTTTCGAATTGTGTTTTTACCATTGCTGAAAACACATTTTTATTTATTTCCATGAGAAAGTATTCTTAGTTGAAGTATTGAATATGACACACATAAAACTTGTTAAAGGTTGATACCTACGAAATTATTTTTTTTAGTAATTTGAATGTCGTGACTGTTTCCATTAACTAGGTGGCATCTCTATCGTGAACATTTTCAGCATTGACCTAGTGTGCACACACTGGCCACTTTTTTGGTGAAGTGAGCTGCATATTTTTGTTTTGTCGTAATAATATAAAATCTTCTGGGTTAAAATTCAAGTGTTAAAGTTGCTTTCCGGTCTGTTATCATCGGGTTTTTAATTAGTGAAGAAAAAAAACGTAGTAAAGAGGCTGGAAGAGCTGCAACCTCGGGCCAATTAGCGAAATCGACCTGCGAATTGCGCAAATGGCCGATGGAACTTCAATTTTTCGGTTGAACTAAAGGCCTAGGATCCGGAGAAAAAGTCATCAGTATGGACGACCTGTCGCAGGGCGACATTTGCCGTGTGTGCAGATGTGAAGCACAGCCGGATAGGCCGCTTTTCTACCCGTGTATCTGCACGGGATCAATCAAGTACATCCACCAGGACTGTCTGATGCAATGGATGCGCTACTCGCACAAGGAATACTGCGAGCTGTGCGGCTACCGCTTCAGCTTCCAGCCCATTTATGCCCCAGATATGCCACGTGTCCTGCCTCTAAAAGATGTCCTCGTCGGATTAATGTCTGCAGTTTTGGAGGGTGCTCGCTGCTGGCTCCATTACTCTCTGGTCGGTATGGCCTGGTTTGGATTAGTGCCACTGTCCGCCTATAGGACCTACCGGTACCTATTCCGGGCCAGCTCCTTCGACATGATTCTCACGCTGCCCTTTGACATCTTCTCCATGGAGAACTTAGCTGCGGATGCTTTTCGTGGCTGCTTTGTAGTCACATGCACGCTGTTATCATTCATTGGCTTGGTCTGGCTGCGAGAGCAAATCCTCCATGGCGGTGGTCCCGACTGGTTGGAGCGAGACATTGGCCACCAAGCAGCAGTTGCTAATCCTGCGCCTGCTCCCGCTGCAGAGGAAGTTCCTCTGCCTCAAGACGATAACAACAACGGTGATGCCCCGCAGGATGTGCCTATAGATAATGAAGCCCCTGCGCCAGACGCACAGGCCCAGGATCCAGCACCAGCTGTTGTTGCTCCTGCAGTGGACGCCGATGCCGACGAACAGAATTGGAACCCCATGGAATGGGATCGGGCAGCCGAGGAGCTCACATGGGAACGCCTTCTCGGTCTCGACGGCTCGCTGGTTTTCCTCGAGCACGTCTTTTGGATTATGTCGCTGAACACCCTGTTCATTTTCACCTTCGCCTTTTCTCCCTACTGTGCGGGCAACTTCATCCTAAGTTCCATGGATCTTCTGCAGCCGGAAAAGCCACTGTTGCACTTTCACGGCTTGATTACCACATTATTCGGGTACTGCTGCATTGGATTGACCCTGGTAGTGTTGCACTTTTTTGCCAGGGTCTTCCGATTGCGAAGAGTTTGTTGGTTCTTTGGATTGTGCTACATTGTGGTCAAGGTGTCGCTGCTGTCAGTTGTGGAGATTGGAGTTCTTCCACTGATTTGCGGCTGGTGGCTGGACATCTGCTCATTGCCATTGCTGGATGCCAGTCTCAAGGATCGCAAGGCCAGCTTTAAGGCCGCTCCGGGCACGTCTCTCTTTGTCCACTGGATGTTTGGTATGGTCTACGTTTATTATTTTGCCGCCTTTATCTCGCTGTTAAGGGAGGTCCTGCGACCGGGAGTGCTCTGGATATTCCGCAATGTTAACGATCCGGACTTTAGTCCCATCCAGGAGATGATCCATGTGCCGATTGTGCGTCACATCCGGCGACTGGTTGCCTCGGCCATGATCTTTGGATTTGCAGTGCTCTTAATGCTTTGGCTGCCTATTAGAATACTGCAGGTGGCCTGGCCAAACTTCTTGCCATATGCTCTAAGTGGCGATGCTGAGGTCAACGATCTTAGTCTCCAGCTGCTGCTCTTGCAGGTGAGTAGGTTGCAGCATCCTGTGGTGCATATTATTGATTTATTTTTACCTTCCCTTGCAGATCGTCTTGCCTGGCTTTTTCGAACAAACTCAAACTCGCATCTGGTTGAAAGGCTTGCTTCGAATTTGGTGCACAGCTGTTGCTTGGCTCTTGGGTATACGTAGTTACCTGCTCCCAGCACCAGAGCCAGAGCCAGAGAATCCAGCACCTGGCGAAGAAGGTGTGGAGAATGCGGCTGGCGAAAATGGAAACCAAGATGGTGAGGCTGAAGGTGCGGCAGCTGCAGCACCACCGCCACCGCCCCCTCCACCACCACCGCCGGTAGAACCAGCGCCTGCACCACGTAACCTTGCCGCCGCCCATCAGGCCATCATGCAACGTGATGCTCCCGTGGGATTCCAGCCGTACGACAAGCCCTCGTTTTTCGCCTTTCGTTTGTGCGCCCTGCTGTCCCTCATGTGCTTATCCATTGTTTGTGCTGCCATGTTGACACTCACGGTTCCAGTCTACATAGGCCGGCGGTTTATGATGCTCTGGACTGGACAGCCAGCTGAAAAGGCAGCGGGAGCGGCAGCAGCCGCAGCAGCCGAAGCAGGAGCAGCGGGAGTGGCTGGAAATCTAGCGCCAGTTGATCCGGAAGGAGCGAGAAAGAACGAGCTACTGTTGCGTTCACATGAATTGTACACCGCTGAAATTGGTGGATATTTGTGCTGGATTGTCTGCCGGGGAGTGGCCGTTGTAGTGACTCTGTTGCCCCAAGGACGAGCGGCTATTGTCAGCAAACTAAAGCATTGGGCACGTGTGGCGTTACAATATGCGCTGCCTGTTCTAACACTCCTGGGAATCTTCGTCTTGGTTCCTCTACTGTTTGGACTACTACTAGAATTGGTGGTGGTCATTCCTCTACGCGTTCCTCTACGCAAGACGCCGATACACTTCCTGTGGCAGGATTGGGCACTAGGAGTACTCTACAGCAAGATTGCCATTGCCTTGACACTGATGGGTCCTGATTGGCACTTGAAGCGAGCCTTGGAACGAGCCTACATGGATGGATTGCGCGATTTCGATTTGAAGTTTGTGATGCGGGACTTGGCGGTGCCGGTTGTTACTACATTTGGCTTGGCCCTTGCTGCTCCCTACGTTATGGCCCATATGGTGTTCCCAATATTCCTAGCAGACGCTTATGCGCAGCACGCTGTTGCTCGCCTCGTGTATCCTGTTAGCTTCATAGTGGTGGGCACCATATGCTTCGTTTTGTTCCAGATAAAGCAATTGAAGAAGCTCTACCTGTCCATTAAGGTGGATAAGTATCTGGTGGGTCAGCGGCTGGTGAACTACGAGCACCGCAAGAAGCAGCAGCAACAACAGCAGCAGCAGCAGGAGGAGGAAGAACAGCAGCGGGCAGCTCGAGAGCTGAAGGAGCACCAGGAGAGGGATCGGGATCGGGAACGGGAGCAGTTGGTGCAGGAGCAGGACTTGGCTGAGCTTCTGTAACGAGATCAGGTGCGAGTCTGTGTCTAAAGTTTAAAGATGTTTTGACAGATGGGGAATTCTGTTGCGCCTTATGCAGGCTAATAGGTTTTATTAACGTTTTTAAGTGGAAATTTTATTGTTAAAGCTTTTAGTAATCACGAACTTTAAGGTTATTAATTTCGTATTTTGATCTTTTGCTCACGAAATTAAAGCATCTCCAATTTATATTTAAAGATTTTTATTTCAACCCGACAACGAGGAGAAGATGCCACGAGAAGAGGCTGAAGTATCTGTGCTTTTCCGTCGTGGAGCTGCTCCTGCTGCTGCTAAAATATCTCGGCTTAGTCTCTGTTTTCCTGCCAGAACGGAGGATTTGAAAATGTTCGAGTGAAATAAACCTTATATGTTCCACCTTCGGCCCTTTCGCCCCACTTTAGTTAACTTTCGTTATATGATTAATGTGTTAGCTACAATTGTTGTTAAATCCTTACCGCTTATAGATCCTAAGTTGTATGATATTTTAAGACGGCCAGACATAAACCCCCGCCATGCCCCCGATATGACTAATCTATAATCTTAGGGGCAGAGTTTAAACCTTGTATTAGAATTGTATGCAAAATTATATTTGAGAAATGTCAATAGAGCAACAACTTTAGAAATAATCCCGAAATAATCCAAATCCAATATGGTTAAAGTGGTGAAAATTTACGGATAGTGGAAAAGAAAAGAAAAACATTTTCGAGCTAGCTTTACGAACTGTAAAAATTATATATGTATACATTATAAATATAACTGATTTAAAATTAATTAATAAATTTAACTTTAAAATTCAAAAAGAGAAGCGAGAGTTTTCCATAGGGCAACTGCTAGGGAGTTCCCATTCTGAAGATTCCTTATCACAACTAAAGTACTTCATAAATTCGTCACAAAATCTCCAACAACTTGTTTACTCATCTGCAAAATAATCATCGAAGACATCTGTTGTGCCGAGTCGAAAGGCACAAGAAATATAAACAGACAATTAATCAACGTCCAAACATATTAAATGAAGCACCATAATGTAAGTGGAGTCAATGGATGAGCGGTTCGCTCAAGTGAGCTAATCATTGAATTCGTACTTTCTGAGCTGGAGGGGCTATGTCAATCATACGCCCTGTGTGCCAGCAGCAATTGACTGACACGAGTTTCGCCCACGGGGCGTATGGGGAATGGCCAGTAGGTTGTGAAGAGAACATCCAGGATGCTGACCCAAAATTTACGAAATACAAAAAAAACATCGAAATAGCTCAAAAGTTGTCCGCTTTCCTGCCAAAAACTTTTAGCTGTAGCGAATTTGTTGCTGCGACAAATAGAAAAGTTTCCAATGTTTTGTAACTTAAATTGTTTTGTGGTCTGACGTGGCCTCGACTGTTCCATCCCACACACACACACAGAGAGAGACGCAAAGTGGCTTATGTGCCGTGGCTATTAAAATGTATGGCAGGTCTCATCCTCACTCTTCCCTGACTTTACCAAATTAAACACTTACCAAACTTGCAGATGGGCGAGTCGCAGAGATAAACAAATAATAAAATGAAATCAAATAATTTGCATTATGTCAAAGTTGAAAGTTGCTGAAACATTTTACTTGCCAGCGCGTGCTTAAGTAGAGGCCAAAACCAAATGGGAATAAATGGGGGGCATTGTGTGTGGGGGATACCTACGACATTTATAAAGTTGGCCAAAACTTTGGCGCGTGTTGGAGTGACCCATGGCGGGATCGGGATAGTGGATCCATCATCGAGGTTTCTTCTTACTCAAAAGCGAAGGGTTTGCATTGCGGTTCATTGAACCAAAAGCTAAATATAAGTCTCTGGAGTTGAATGAATTTCTTTAAGTTACCGCATCGATTGGCCTTGAATAACTTCCTTTAGGACAGGTTTCCAAAGGCCTATGCACAAATACAAGATGGTTGTGTAAAGTATAATTTTAATGATTAATCTTGTAGGGCTTTATTTCGAGTGTTGATTTAACAGAATAATCCTAAACAAAATCCAAAGATTGTTGAATAATTACTTAATAAAATATAAAAACAAAAGTGTAGTTTAAATACTCATAAAATTTTTCCGTGTAATCTCAAGTTCCTAGATTTCTTGCCGTAGGAGATAGTTAATTAAGCTGAATGGCTGTTTGACGGAATACTTTTAATTGGATTTTTCCGGATTGCGAGTGCATTTTCCAGAGAACGACTTTCCGCCATAAATCAATAGTCATCTCCATCTTATCATGTCAGCGGGCCATTAATAAAATCTAACATAATTCAAAGCATTCTCCAATCTGACAATGCACTTTTATGACTCTATTAAAAGACTATAAAAAATATATATTACAAGTTGATGGCACTCGTTGACTTCGGACCAGTCAGTCCCTTTGCTGTAAGCGGATTTCCAGCTTAAAGTTGTTGCCACATTAATGCTCTTTTTTTTTTGGAGGGGGTGGTCACAAATTCCTAAAGGACCACAAATGCCACAAAATGCCAGCAGCCAGACAAATAAAGTTTTGAAAATGCCCAATGGTTGGGCAAACAAAACTCTCGCCACTCCAGTGGCCAGGACCACACAACACTTGCCAACTCTCTGCTGTCTATCAATTTATTTAGAATTTCATTTGAATAATTAAACCGTCTCGCTTTCAGGCAGTGTGCAAAGGGGGGATATTATTTGATTACTTTTAATAATGTAAACAGTAAATGTCGAGCTGTGGCTAATTTGAAATGCGGTTGTGCTGGAAATTGCATTACCGCTTTTCATTTTCATCCATTCGGCCTTTTGCTCTCATTTCCGAGATTTACATTTTCACAGAATTACCACTTAAACTGAACTTTGGATATATTTAATTGCAAATCAATGTAACAAAAACAAGAAATAAAGAATTATACAAATATTCTTTAGCTTCTCATTTCTGAGATAATTTATTTATTATGACTTTGCTCTTTTACTCTAATATGCACTCGGATTTCTGGGGATAAATTTTAATTAGCACTCTCAAGTTATCAAGTTTATATCCCTGCTACCCACATGGGAACATTAGGAAACCCCAGGAAAAAGGAGGAAAAGTATACATATGAAGATGTCAACCACTCTTGTCAACAGCTCTTGTGAAAAGACTTTCTTTATGTCTTCCGCTTTTTCATCTTGAACTCTGTGCTCTGTGAGCTTTGTGCTTTCTTGTTGTTGTTGAAAATTAACAACTTCATATGTCAGCAGTGATAACTTCATACCCCTTGAAGGGAATATATATATATATACTGAGGGAGCGGCTTACGCGGCTTTATCATTTGTCGCGCATTACGGGGCGTATGCGTAATGTGCCAAGGCAGGGACTTTAAGCGGAGCTCATTTGCATGAATTGCTCCGCAGTTTGTTATTGTTTTGTTGCCGCTTCCGCTTGAGGCTCTTATCAAGCATAACCAACACTTCATAAATTGTCTAAAATTAGCCATAAAACAAAGCAAACAACCGGGTCAAGTTGCTGTTGTTGTTGTTTGCGCTGTTACGGTTGCAACAATCTCAAGAGTGTAGCAACCTGCCCTTGCCCCACCCACTTGACACCCGCTCCAAGCTTGTTATGCTTTATTATAGTCATCCAAGACCCCTCCCAAAAAACCTCCCCCTCCGGTCATGGCAACTATATTTCCGTGGGGTATCCTGGATATCCATAGAATGGGTATCAAAATATGTCTGTTCTGGTTGCCACACTCGGTCGCCGAAGTGGCCTTTTGATTTTCGTTGCCATAATTTATTATTTCTCCCAACGCAAAATAAAATAATTTGTATAAAAGCATTGCCCTGGGAAACATGAGAGGGGTCAGTCCTAAAAAACAGAAAATAGTTAACCATCGAAAAACGAAAACAAAAACAGAAAAACAGGATAGGTAAGAAAGGTAAACTGCTGAATTCCCTAACGGAATGAATTAAAATGTGAATAGCAAATGTCTGTTTGGTTACCTAAGAAGTTATTTCTTCTTAAAGGAAATATTTATTTAAATTTTCCGTTTCATTTTAATGGCTTTTATGCTATAAAAATGCAATAAAACTTCTTATTCTTGAGGAAATGATCTATACTCATCCTTAACATATATTTTAATATCGAATAAAAACTTTTAGGCAATAAAAAATTTGTTTATATATTGAGAATCATATACTTTGATACTTCTTTTGCATAAGCCTGTTTTTTCTCATATGGACGCATACCTTCTCCCATCATCCATATACCTCACTTTCGAAAAACAAAGGTGTTGTTCAGCTGCCTCAGCGGTAAACAAAGGGGATGCGGGAAAGCTGAACACCCAGGAGTATTTATTTACTTTCTGGGTTTAGGCCAACCACAACAATAGACCAAAAAAAAAAAAAAAAAAAAAACCAAACCCAGCCCAAGTTTTTACGCCACTTTTAAAGATACATAAAAAAAAATCCTTCCGCATTGGATTTCGTGGGGGTTAAAGTTTGAAGTTCGGGGTGTTACTTTTTATGGCCTGCAGCCGCTGGCTTGGCTACGTCTGATTGAGCGTGAAGTTGTAAAACTTAAGGAGTGCTAAGTGCCCCGTGGTCCGAGGGCTGCTCCTCTCCGGGATTATGGCCAATAAAGCACGCATGTCGGCGCCAGAACTGGACTTGGCCCGAAAAAAATTAAATATGCCTCGGCCGTGGTTTCTTTTTTTTCTTCCAGAATGGGACATTTGGAAGGTGTGCTCATGGACAGTGTCCGGTCCAGTGGATGGGGCAGATTTATGAGCTGCCTGGGATTGGGTAAGTGGCAACAAGATGGAGAGATTAACCCGGCTTACGAGCCACTTGTTCCGGAACCTTGTAAACTCATTTTTTAGTTGACCATAATTTAGGTTGGTTAATGGGCAGAAGGGTTAAGAGTTCTTTTAGGGGTGACATTTTTTCTACATTAAAAATAAAAACCTTATCTTGGCCAAATGTTACACAAAACTAAGAACAGTTTGGGTTGGGGTAAGTTTGTATAATATAATAAATGTCAATTTGGCACTATTTTTTTCAGTTTCTTGCCAGGCAAATGATGGAAGAAATGCTGATATCTTCATGACCAAACAAACCACATTTTGTGCCATCTTTTCCGACCAAAATATTAAACTGCTGATCCCGATAAATCCCAACTGATGAGCCAATAAAGAAAACTAAGTCATCTGAACAACAGCTGCTTGGCAGGGCCGAAAACTGATTTTTCATATCATCATCTTCTCGATTCGCAACTTGATATATTTGTGGCAATCAAATGAAGCTGCATAAGCATCGCATGTAAATTCAATATGTAAATTGGCAAATATAATATATATATATATCCATTGAGTTTTTGTGTGGACATGCAATAAATACTAAAGCCATACATACAGCCAGTAAAAATGCAGTCAAATTATTTGGCAATCGAGAAAATGAATGGAAAAAGGGAGCAGAGGTTCAGTAAGGGTTCCAGATGTTTTTTCGTTATTATTGGGTCACGCACTTTTCTTTCTTTTTTTTTCATTCGATTTTTCGTTTTTAGCCATGGACAAAGCGACGCCTCTGTGGAAGCCATAAAATTGGAGCACATATAGCGCGTTTTCACCGAATAGTCTGGCGTCTGGATGTAAGCATACTTTTTATGCAAAACGAATCAAAATCCAATTATAAACCGAAAGCGCGTGTGTGTTTTCCGTCAGTGTTAGAGTGGGCTGAAGGGGGGTACTTGAGTAGAGGGAGGAGGGGCAGAAGGAACAGTCCCGCCAACTGCAGCACAAAACCTAACAACAACTCTTGGTCAGGCGGTAATGAAAAATTCAATTTGGTAAACAAAAGACGGCAACGAAAATGCGATTTAATATACATACGCCCATATGTGCGTGCAAGTGCATCGATACGCGTTGATACACTGGGGAAAATAAGGTGGTCTTTTGTATTTAACTTTACTTTACTAATAGGGGAATCTTGTGCTGAATATGGGAAACTGATGATGATGTTTTTAAAAGCTCTCTGAAGTTATGATTTCTATTCATATCCTTTTCTTACCTAAAGGGTAAATGTTTCCAAATATTCATATATTTTCAAAAGGTTGAGTAATTTTTTCCAGTGTCCTGCCTGTATATACTGTATGCAAACGTTTTGTTGGCGCCAAAAACTTTGTTGGTGCCTCCGACTGGGGAACAATGAAACTCATTTGCATTTGGCAGCCATGACAGAAAATGGTGTTGTACTCTAAACGCCAATTTCAATGGTTTCTGCAAATATTTGCCAGTCTAGCTGTTTGAATCCCACAAATATGGCCATAAACCATTATTTCTCGGTTGAACATACAAATAAACCGCAAACATATTTCTCAAAATGCAATGCACAAATATTTCGATTTGGTTATTTCATTTCGAACAATTTATTTAATTGTCCTTGGAAATGGTTATGCTAATTAAAGTTCAATAAGTTATAAATTAAATTATCGAAATTGTAAATCAAATTATTTGCAATAACATTTTTGTGGTAAAACATTTTTGAAAATTCTCAAAAACTTACTAACTGGATACAGTCCAAGAAAACAGCGAGCTGGCCATCATCAGGAAAAAGGAGCAGATGATCAGGGTGACGATCATGATGGGGAATCCCAGCAGAAAGAATTGACGGAAGCTCAATTCGTAGCCGTGCGCCCGGCCTACCGCTGCGGTGAACTCGTTGGCCATGGATCCCAAGAGTGTTCCATTGGCTCCGTAACAGGATCCGCAGCTGGTCGCCCAGACGAGGGAAATAAGGCGCACCACTACTTTATCATTGTAGGCCATCTCGATGGAGATCTTCACCATTATGGAGGCCACCATCGTATTATGGATGAAGGCGGACAGTAGGGCTGATAGCCAAAGAACGAGGAGCATACCAACCATGTTTTGATATTCCTCATCCACTTGCTCGACTACGATAACCGCCTTGTCGCCCAGCCAGGCGATGAGACCCAGTTCGCCCACGACCTCGGTGAGAACCAAAAGCGAGGCAAGTAAGAGCATTACTCCCCACTCGATTCTGGACAGAGTACGATATAGTGTCCTCTTGTCAGCCAGGATAAGAAGGAGAAATGCTGCTAAAATGGCAATCCACCCCAAGGAGGCCCCAGGAACGGTCTGGGGATACGATTGCAGGATCAAGCAGACGGCGGCAAAACATATGGCCAAGAGCGTGTACACCAGCAGCATCTTCTTGCGGATACCATAGCTCGCCTCCATGGTGGCCAAAGTCTCAAAAAAGTTGTCGACAGGCTGAAGCCATCTCCTACCCGAATACATCCTTCTCAATTCTTCTGCCCGGTGCTCGATGTCGCCCGAGGGGGTCTCCTTTTGCCTACTCTTAGCCAACTCCAACTGTTTCTCGTCCAGAATAAATATCTTCTTGCCGAGGGTCATGTAGAGCATGCCATATACCACCAGCAAACAAATCAACGCAGTCGGCAGCATGTGCAAAGAGAAGCTAAAGAAATTGATTCCAGAGGATTCCACTAGCTTGTTGGTGGCTATAATGATATTTGGCGATCCACCCACGGGGGTAATGGATCCACCGATATTCGCATATATTGCCACCATGATCAGGACCAGAGTGGTTCTGATGTCCATGACCTCACAAAATCGGATGACAGTGGGGCAAGTGAGAAGCACCACAGTGGCATTGTCGAGGAAAACCGAAAGCATGGAAACTACGGCGCTCAAAAGGGCGATCAGCAGCCAGGGATGGCCTCTCGAGATCCTATAGCTTACTAGGGCTGCATAATCGAAGAATCCGGTTTCCCCCATCAGTGACGTCATTATCATATTGCCCATCGGCAGCATCAGTGTCTCAAAGTCCACCCATGATATCACCATATCGAAAGAAGGCTTATTGCCCAGCAGAGCGAGAATAGCCAAAGAAGCAGTGGTTATTAGAAGAGTGCACAGGATTCGATCGGCCACTTCCCAGACGATTATCACATAGAGGGCTAGGATCAGGATGGCGCCGTATATACAACCTCTTACTTCATCCAACGGAGTATTGTCCACCGTCACGACCAGACCCACCGGATGATTGTCTTCGCTTTCAAAGGAGATCACCGTTTCGGCAACCGCCCATTCATTGGGTGAGACAAAGCGATCATTAAAATCCAGCGGTCCTTGGTCCTTGTTCAACGAACGTACTTGATACAAAGCCGTGAGGGAAAAGGGAAAGACCTTTTTTACCGTAACGAACCTTTTTCTATCCTTCGACATATACACATCCCATCTGTCTGTGCGCAGATAGCTGACATTCATTTCGGTATTGCGCCACTCCAAGCGAACGCCAATAGACGTGAAGCCGGACGCATTGTACCAATGTTTCGTGAGGTAAGGGTTAAAGGCTCCTTGCAGACTCACGCCCACGGAATCATATTTCATTTCGAAGGTCCTGTACACTGTTTTATTCGGCAAAACCGTCACCATCGAGGTCTCGTCTACTTCGTCCCCGTACGTGAGCAGGACGAAAGTGAATATGGCCCACAGTGCCACCAGGATGGACATTTTGATGATCAGAAAGACGTAATCTGATGTGGTTTGCGGGGAGGAGACCCTCTTGCGAGTGTACTGTATCGAATTCATGGCCTATATCGCTTGAATTCGTTTTATAATCCCTTTTTTAATATAATTGAATTTCCCTTTGATGGATAAATCAAACTTAAATTTCTCAGTTTAAGTCAGAAGAAAAGTAGTTAAAAGTGTACTTCCTTTAACTCAACCTAACACAGCTAATAGCATTCTTGCATTACTGTAGACCACAGTAAATTAAGCCACATTAATTTCCATTTAAAAGGATTTTAACTCATTAAATAAAAACCGAGTCAAAGCAGATAAGATTTTCTGGTTTTTCCATTTGAATTTCCTTCACTTTCCTGTTTTAGCCAAGTCAGAAGTTGTGGTAACATCTGTTAACGTCCAACTTGCTTATGATATGTGGTCTGGCTAACTTAATAAGAGAGAGAGGACTCTTCCCATCGAGATGCCAAGGATAAAGTTGGACAAATGCAAAGGGAAAACTTGAGTTCGGCCCAAGTAGGCCAGAGTAGGTGAAAGCCATTTTCCCAGCTGACCATCAAAAATGTAGCCATGATACGTGAGAGTGTGTGTGTGTGTGAGAGAGTGTGCGGGGAAAAGCGGAAAACGTTGCATTACCAACTTTTTAATAACGCCACATAGAAATGTAAGGAGAATGGAAAATCCGACAAAATGCAGAGACATGGGATTGCTGTATGGAAATGGACAAAACAATATTTGATGCATGACAAATCTAGGAAAAACTGTTGTTATTCCTGCCACCGTTGCTATTTACAGAGCAACTTTCCCAGCCAAACAATGGGTGTCATTCAAGGGGTTTAGTCAAGCGAGAAAAGTTCTGGAAATATGCAGATTTTTCTCCCACGAGGAGGTGTGCCAACGAAAAATCTTTAATATTCGTAGCAATTTCAGCTGAATTTTTTCCTTTCAAGCTGGATAATATTCCGTTTTACCCCGCAGCACTTATAATCCACTTCAGTTTTCCCCACAATTTGTCGCCATCCACATAAATCTAAATCAGCTCCCCCAGCTCAGTCTGGCCAATGCACGTGCCACAGATGTGTGAAGCTGTGTCTCCATCCTTGATTCGCTCCCCCCCTCCAGCAATCTGCAACAATTTCCCCATCGCATTCATTCTAGATTTTCATTTTTTTTAATTCCTACAAGTGGGGTGAACATCAACTTTAAATGGCAGCGTGGTTAATTGGAAATGAAGTGCAATACAGACTGTCTGAGATCCGCTTCGAATGGCAGGCAGCATAATGAAAATGGTCACCGACCCATGCAGGTGTTGGTTGCCTAGGCAATTAAATAGGATTTCACATACCCTAACACAGCACATTAATTTGTATGACTGAATTGGGTCTGGAATTTTTGAGAGAAACGAGAGTGAGTACTCCTAGCACAGGGGAAAATGTGTAATCAGTTTAACCCTTTGTAAAAGTGAACCAGATTTGTATTTCTTTGAAGTTTCTAATAATATGAAAAGTTTTCTTTCGGGATTACTAGGATAGGATTCCAGCTTATTTCATTATTTTCTATATTTTTATAAATTCTACTTATTATATAACCCAATTTTTGTCACTATTTTCTATCAGTGTAGTGACTTAATTTTATGCCATAATTTCATGGGCCTATGCAATTTCCAGACAAGTTTTTGGGAACCTCCTGTCTAAGGTTGGTGTTTTTCCTGCACCATACGATGTCGACGCCTAATTAGTCAAGTGAGTGGAGTTCGGGGACAGAGAGTGTTAGCCCTGTTGGCAAATATTCTGACCCTGAGCATCGCACAAATGTTGTCACCCCGGAGTTTTAGGCAAATGTCGACAGCTGGCATAGCGCAAACCCCAACTGAGGACTGAGGACTGAGAGCCCAAAACCCAAAAACAAGACGACAGTCGGGTCGACACTTTGACAGTTGCCCCGACGTTCGAATTTCGCACGGGTCACGCCCACATTATGTCTGTGTATGTGGAACATTGCGAATATAATGTGAAAGCGTAGAAATGTACCCTGTCAGGGGGTATTTAGGTTGTCTAACTATCAGAAGTGTTAAAATGTTTAAAATTTTTAAATTAGTTTGTAGTTAAGTGTTTAGTAGTTAGGATTAATATCATTTTAATACTATTTTGGATAAACTTTAGTCTCTATTTATTTCATAAAGATAACTTTTTATATGATATCTTAAACTTACTCTTTAAAATCTCCACCCATTTTGGTTTAGTTTAATCCAAAGTGTCCTTGCCAACTTAGAACCACCATATCCTCTACCTGTCCTAGGGTACTTCCAATTTTGCCAACCAAAATTACCTTTTACCACCCATTATGTGATTCCGTAGGCGTCGTCTGCTCACCAAAGGTGGCCAAAGTATCAACTCAACCGCTGCGAGGAAGGTCCTAAGAATGGCTTAGGCTCCATTCCAGGAGCTCATTACTAAATACCACCGATGCAGCAGAAGTAGCAGCAGCAGCAGCAGCAGTAGCAGTAGCAGCTGCTGTTAAACGCCTTTGAAGTCGACGGCTCAGTGGGCCAAAGGAATGCGAGGACCCGAGAACCCAAGAAACCGAGGACCCAAAGTCCCAAGGATCCGAGGTGCAGATACGGATGAACGGTGAATGGTTATGGTTTCGGTGGCGTAAGTGGGCTTATTTGAATTTATTGTGGGAATTGCAGGAGCCCAGAGCTGCGACGTGGGCGTCGCGCATGAGTCCCGGATCAAAAACAATAATTTACTTGATTTCACTTTCGTTCCGCGAAAGTTCAAGGGGCGTGGCATGCGGCTCAAATTGTCTGGAATTAGTGGGTGAAAGTGGTGGGGATTATTATTCAGAGCTGACTCCCTCGACTAATTGCCATCTGCTGGCATTAGCTAATGAAAAGTTTGCCAATTCAGACGAAAGAGAAACCGAGATAAAGGAGATGAACCCGTTCGCCTGTGAACTTATTTCATTCCAGAAAATGTTGAAAATTTCTACCTTTATTCCCCAGAAGTTTTGTATTCTGAAAATTGGCAAAGTTCGGATTGATATATCGCTGCAATAAATTGTTAAAAATTCAATAGAAAATTGGTTTACTCAGGGCCATAACATATGGCTTCAGCTTTGAAAATTCTCCACAAAAAAAAACTCCTCAACTCGCTGACTGATTTATGAGCGCATGCAAAGCGACTCTATGTGCGAAAGTTAGACGGCAAAAGTTTTGTGCCTGCATTATAAAGATGTTAATCCCGGTGACAAGTCCTCATCCGCCTGCTCATAGGATTATACCGGCCCAGAGCCATCCTGACGTCAGCCTGGCCAGGACAATAGAAAAACCAGACCAAGCTAACGAACTCCTCAACAAGTGCTCATGAATGCAAATTGTTATTATGTAGTGGCGACCATTATACATAGAATATTTTTTGTTTCTATATTGTGGATTATGAAAATGGGAACGTCCATTTGCATAATTGATGTTTAAAATGCGAACAAGAGACGAAGAAACTTTAGCTGTCCTTTAATTGAAAAATAATACATACCAACTGAGGATGAAAACGGAGGCCCTCATCCCTTGATCTGCTTGAGTCTGCCTTCTGTAGGCCACCTACGTGTGGACACATGGCATCTCGTATATACATAGTCGACTCGTACATATCTTGCCTGCGGTGGAATTTCCATTTGGATTGGGAATGAGAAATGTGAGAGGAGCAGGAAAAGCTCTTCGCCTGGCCATGTGAAAAGTTAATGATGTCGCTAGCTGGGAGCACACATATTTCAACATTTACGTTTGTAATTAAATTTATAACAACTGGCAGGCATGCCGGAGTAATTGCATTTACCATTTACCAGTTTGCCAGTTCACCAGTTAACCTGCTACATATAGACACGAGCTCAATTTTGGGCCCTTTTAATATGCAATTAAACGGTTATCGTAAGCTGTCTTGTCCAGAAATGGCCATCAAATTTGCGTTTCACCTTCCTCCCATAAAAGGTAATATTACTTTTGCCTCGCATTAGAAATAATACTTAAATTTAATACTGGATTTGTTTTGTTTACCCAACTAGCTTAAATTTTGGGTATAAAGTAAGTCATATTTTGGTTTATATTTCCTTTCAAAAGTTAGTGTATTACTAGCCTTTGTTCATAGTTTTCCTCTGAAAGTACAGCATCAGCTGGGTCCGCACTTCTTCCCAGCGATGCCATTTATCCTGCCAGCCATAATTCGATTTGCTTTCATTTGTTTATTAAAATATTTAAAATTAATGCCGGACGGCATACGCTGAGCCCAACAAAGGGCTCGTTAAAAAGGCGATGCCTGATTAACTCGACGGTTCGATACTGAAAATACAACGAATTTTTAAACACGTTCTGCATTTTATAGTTTGATTGACTTTCCGGTTATGAAAGAGGTTTTTGTTGATTTGGTTTTTGACTCTTTTGTTTTTGTTTACTTTCCACCTCTACAAAGTGCCATTGAAAACATAAATACAATGAAGTTACATTAATTAAATTAAATTACAATGTAAAAAGGGTGTTGCGTACTTTTAAATACCTTTAAAGGGAATTTTATCAGATTTTTTATGGTGTTAATCTTGTTAAAGGGAAAAAAGTTGGAACTTATGTAAGGAATTATATGGAAATTCTCTTCAATTAGTAGTGTTTCTCAGAACTTTTCTTTTTTTTATATATTTTTTAACAAAATTTCATTCTAATTAAGCCATTTCAGATTTAGGAATAACAGGGTATAGTTGAATTAGCCAAAGGGCATAGATTGGCTTTACATAATTAGCTTATTGATTTTACAGTTGATAACTCACTAATTGGCATTTCTCTAATTACCTGCCAATGTAATATAGAAAGGATAAAATGAACTAAAAATATTTATTTTTTACTGCTTTAAAAAAGTATTTCCTTTACAATTTGTTCTAAATTTAATTTCTCAACTCCTGCGCTTCGGGTGACCCTTTTCCATTGTCCTCTCTGAGCCAAATATAAATTGGCGACAGTTTTTTTCTAGCCTTTGTTTGGCTTAGTTTGTTTTTTAGGCCCATCATCATCATTAGAGGCA